TGTTTGATGATTACAAGATTGTCAAGGCAGGGGTTTGAAAAGGAAGTCATCAGTTTCATGGCTATGATAAATGCTATCTGATGATTTGGTACATGTGTCGAGAGGCTAACTGCAATAAAGTGAACATAAAGATTATCTTTGATTATAAGCTAGTTAAAGATTGAAGTCTTTAGTATTAGATATAAGTGGCCGTGAAAGCGTGTTCAGATTTGAGGACAAGGGATGTGTACCCCAAATAACCCCATCCTATCATTACTCATGCTGGTGGTCTGGTGGATGGATGATTTAGGGTACCTGATAATGCAGTATTTGGAAGTGATTGCTTTGTTAAGAATGCCTTAAAATGGATGCTCATATATGCGCATTTTTTTAGTTGCATTTGCGTAAGTCTGGATTTGTGAATTCGACTTTAAGCAATTGCATATTCCGTTCATATCAATATAGGTGTTTAATGTGTGTCAATGCAGCAGGTAGCAATTAAGAACTTACTGTTGAAATAACACAACCTTCCAACATATAGTGGTTATATATGGATGTAGTCGATACAACAGTCATGAAATCAGTAGAATTGTGTCTAGTAAGTTGGTAGAGAAGCACCAATTGATCTTTCCTTATAAAACTGTATTTTGTTTGTAATAGGTCTGCAATTGAACTTGAAAAGAAGACACGTGCTTGTAACCTTGAACAGCGTCAGATACTAGAAAAAAATATGGCCCTCGTCTCTCGGGAACTAGAAAGACTACATTCAGAACTTGCTAATGCAGAGAAGAGAGCAAGGGATGCACCAACGACGGTAATCGCAAACCCAAGTAATGTGATCTACTCTTGTTCTCTGATAAGTTTAATCTTAACTTCCTTGGACAAGTTCTTGACCTTTTAACATCCTTGCATTCAGACCCCAAATACAATGGAAACTATGGAAATATTGATGCCAAGTATGGAGGAAGTCATTCCATGCCTCAGGTATGTTCTGCTTTTAGAATATTGAGCCCTTTTATGACTTCACTTTAAATCTACAATCCAATTAGTAATTGGAGATGGTAGACTGCATGAAACTTGAGAAAGTAACCCCATCATGGATTCTCAACTTATTTCCAAAAGTAAAACCGTGGAAACATAAGCTTGCTTTGATTGATTGGTACTTTGTTTTATTCGTGTTACCACTGACGTTCCACAATTGTTTGACAACCGGGTGTCAGGCAATGTTTTATACTTGATTTCGGGCTGTTGTTGCATGTCCGCAATTTGTGGCTGGAGCTGGAACGATGCCCCCTGTTATTATAGAGGGCCAAGGGTCCCATACACCTATTGTTAATGGTACCTTCTGTGTCGGGAGCAGTTTCTACTGTCCCTCTGATAACCAAGTAGTTCAGATATAACCATTTCTAACTTGTATATAAATTCAATTTCTGAAATTAGCATTACTTGGGCAAAACTTTGATGCTAAATAAGCTTTCTGCAAAATGTGCAATTGCTTGAGCTAAAACATAATGCACAGTTGAAATTGACATGTACTTGTAGCATCAACAGTAAGCTTCTTTACTTGAGTTATATTGACTCGTTTATTTGCCGTATTTATAATTTCATCTGTTACGGCAGCTTGTATAATAAATATAATTAAGAAAACACAAAAGCAAATGAATTAATTATGTTGGAATGAAGAGTAGGACTCAATGCTTCATCCATCAATTAATATTTAATATGTTTCACTGCAGAATAAAAAAACAGCACTTCGGAATGCCGCCAGTCCTAACCATATAACTAAAGGGACTACAGATATTAAGAGCACCATCACTCGTTGAAAACGCTCACACATAGCTACAAAAAAACACCATGAAGTAGACCGTAATTCTCAACACTCGCCATCCACTATCCTGCAACTAATTGGTCATACTTGAGGAAACTCGCAGCAACCACTTCTTGCATAATCCATTATTGAATGCCATATTAAACAACATACCGTCCCCAATCAACCATTTATTTAGTAAAACTACACGCACAATTGCATTCAGCAATCAGCATATAAAACTACGACCATTATTGGGGTTAGAACTTAGAAGACGTCACTATAATTGAAGCCCAAACAGAAACCTATTTGCTTACATCAAAGCATAAGGTCTCAGGACTGTGATCAGTATATGCTGCCATACAATGATCCAAACTGATTCTTCAATTGTCCACATTTAATGAATTTGAATTTTCAAAAACAACTAATTAAAACTACTTCATAGCATGGGAGGCAAACCCCATCATCTATGCACATGCTTATAATTCACTAGTTTGTTCCACCGCATCAAATGATATGGAGAAGAGCAACAATTCAATCCCCCAACAAAGGGATATTCCCAAATAAAAGGTACATGATTCAAAGGAGCAGCACTCACCTGAAATTATCAACCTACCTTAGCAGGAAGCAATTTGAAGTTAATCCACTTGCTTCTATAAAAGGATCCACAAATCCAATCAATCCAGTGCCTAAAATAAAAAACCCCTCCATCTAACAGTAGACAGGAGGAAGGAGAAAAAGGAGTATTGCCCAAACAAGTGAACCACCTACCTCTCAGTCTCCTGTTCAAGAACAACCCTGTGAATGGGGACAACTACAACCCTTAGATCATAATTCTTAGTACATAAAATACTCGAAGCTGAAAGTCTCTTAGTATGGACGTGAACGGTTTCCACCATAGTGATGTCTATCTGGCCCAGAACCTCCATCCCTGCGCCTGTCCCCACCACCACCATAGCCACCTCTACCACCTCTGTCAAATAACACCATTCAACAATGAAGCCTCAATAAAAACAATTTATATTATATAAGCCAAGAACATTTTGACTTTCTTTTAAAAAAACATGACATACTTTTAGGTAAACTTTCTATTGTTTACTACACAGTAACAAGCTTAAGGGACAACCTAATAGTACCATATGCAAACCAAGCACAAGTTTTAAAAGAAAGCTGCTAACAGTAGTTAGATATTTTTTTTTGATAAGAATTTCAGGCCTCGTTAAAAACCCCCTTCTTGATTGTTGGAGCTAGTAGTGTAGCTCCTTAATCAACAGAAGGAGGAAAAGAGTGCCTAAGGATTTTATTGCACATAAGAGATTACAAAAGATACAACTTTACAAACACCTATAACAGAACCGATGAACAAAAACAACCTAAAACCACCCATAAATAGCACCACTAGACCAGCCAATTCCTTCATTAGGTAAGACAACAACCTCTAAATTGGCTGTCCTATTAACCAAATCTAACAACACCTAATGCAAAACAAACCAACATTACAACCAAAAACTTGAGAAAAAAAAAACGCCTCTGAAAACATATGCCAAACAATTAAGTATCAATTGGAGGATCAAGTTCTAATGAGATATCGCAATCTTCGGGGACCCAAGAGTTAGGTTTGAAGGATGGATCAACTTCATGCACCATAATCTTGAATAAATTATCACCGACCTTCAATTCCAACAACTCATCAATTCTCACTTGATCTTTTGTGAGTATTTGGATTTTAGCCCGATCAAAAGATGATGGAAACTCGCAACTTTTGTCGATTGATAATAATTTGCCCCACTTTGTTGCAATGCTTTTGAAAGTATCCCAATTCCAAGCGTGAAAAGGAATACCTTCGCAAACTAACCACACGCGACGACAATTCACCACTAGGCTCTCGGACCAAGTTTCCACTTTGGAAAACCATTCTGTAAGAGTCTCTAGATAGTCATCCTTCACGATTCTCAACGAATCAGAGTCTTCAAAAACCATTAGAACTACATTTGCAGCAGCCCTCATAAGCGTGAAGCCAGCAAGTCCTTTGGCTTGAATTTGGTTAGCAAGATTACCATTTTAATGAAGTTCTTGCACCACCCCACAAGACTTGTTGCATGTCCGCAATTGTGGGAGCTGGAACGATGCCCCCTGTTATTATAGAGGGCCAAGGGTCTCATACACTATTGTTAATGGTACTTCTGTGCCGGGAGCAGTTTACTGTCCCTTGATAACCAAGTAGTTCAGATATACCATTTCTAACTTGGATAAATTCAATTTCTGAAATTAGCTACTTGGGCAAAACTTTGATGCTAAATAAGCTTCTGCAAAATGTGCAATTGCTTGAGCTAAAACATAATGTACAGCTTGAAATTGACATGTACTTGTAGCATCAACAGTAAGCTTCTTTACTTGAGTTATATTGACTCGTTTATTTGCCGTATTTATAATTCATCTGTTACGGCAGCTTGTATAATAAATATAATTAAGAAAACACAAAAGCAAATGAATTAATTATGTTGAATGAAGAGTAGGACTCAATGCTTCATCCATCAATTAATATTTAATATGTTTCACTGCAGAATAAAAAAACAGCACTTCGGAATGCCGCCTGCCTAACCATAACTAAAGGGACTACAGATATTAAGAGCACCTCATCGTTGAAAACGCTCACACATAGCTACAAAAAAACACCATGAAGTAGACCGTAATTCTCAACACTCGCCATCCACTATCCTGCAACTAATTGGTCATACTTGAGGAAACTCGCAGCAACCACTTCTTGCATAATCCATTATTGAATGCCATATTAAACAACATACCGTCCCAATCAACCATTTATTTAGTAAAACTACACGCACAATTGCATTCAGCAATCAGCATATAAAACTACGACCATTATTGGGGTTAGAACTTAGAAGACGTCACTAATTGAAGCCCAAAACAGAAACCTATTTGCTTACATCAAAGCATAAGGTCTCAGGACTGTGATCAGTATATGCTGCCATACAATGATCCAAAATGATTCTTCAATGTCCAACATTTAATGAATTTGAATTTTCAAAAACAACTAATTAAAACTACTTCATAGCATGGGAGGCAAAACCCCATCATCTATGCACATGCTTATAATTCACAAGTTTGTTCCACCGCATCAAATGATATGGAGAAGAGCAACAATTCAAATCCCCAACAAAGGGATATTCCCAAATAAAAGGGTACATGTGATTCAAAGGAGCAGCACTCACCTGAAATTATCAACCTACCTTAGCAGGAAGCAATTTGAAGTTAATCCACTTGCTTCTATAAAAGGATCCACAAATCCAATCAATCCAGTGCCTAAAATAAAAAACCCCTCCATCTAACAGTAGACAGGAGGAAGGAGAAAAAGGAGTATTGCCCAAAAAGTGAACAACCTACCTCTCAGTCTCCTGTTCAAGAACAACCTGTGAATGGGGACAACTACAACCCTTAGATCATAATTCTTAGTACAAAATACTCGAAGCTGAAGTCTCTTAGTATGGACGTGAACGGTTTCCACCATAGTGATGTCTATCTGGCCCAGAACCTCCATCCCTGCGCCTGTCCCACCACCACCATAGCCACCTCTACCACCTCTGTCAAATAACACATTCAACAATGAAGCCTCAATAAAAACAATTTTATTATATAAGCCAAGAACATTTTGACTTTCTTTTAAAAAACATGACATACTTTTAGGTAAACTTTCTATTGTTTACTACACAGTAACAAGCTTAAGGGACAACCTAATAGTACCATATGCAAACCAAGCACAAGTTTTAAAAGAAAGCTGCTAACAGTAGTTAGATATGATCATTTGAGATTTGGTTTCCATGGTAAATTACAGCAAGCAAAACCTCAAATTAGGAATTCGACATGGTAACATACAATTTAGCAGAAAGAGAAAATAGGCATTGTGAGTTCATAAATTTCATGTAGAAACAATTAAAGACATTGACTAATGAAAAAAACAAGGTTTAAATGATACCCATGATCATACACTTTAGGCGCAGTCTTCTCAGCCATTGCCACACTGATTGTATAGCCTCTGACATGGTCTGAGAAAGAAGATTCCAACAAGTGTTAGGACAAACGTTTAAAGTAACAAACTAAATGAAGAAAAGTTTAGTTGTGTACTTTAAAGAAACCGCCAGCAGAGTGTGCAGCTTGAGGATCTTCATAAGTCAAAACCGCATCACCTTTTGGGTTTCCTTTCTCATCAGTGTATATTTTTATATTCCATGGCCACTGATCTTTATAGCCACGCTTCTGCTTAATTCTTCCAACCTAAACAAGTGACCATCAAAACAAGGAACAGAATAAAGCAAATATCAATGCACAATTATATTAAATAAAAGTGATATCAGCTCTGGAAATAAAAATAAAAACACCAGGATGCAATAGATGACATAATACCATCATAAAGCACAGTGATTTAAAATATAAGATATGACCATTACTTGTCCAATGCCGCCAAAAAGGTCTCTTAATTCTTCAATAGTAGAATCAGGTGGCAAATTTGATATGTAGATTCTGGTATTGTCACAAGAATCCCCGCAGTTTTCATCACATTGCTTGATCTTGCCTGGTGCATCAGTAGAAGGACCACCATAACCACCTCCTGATGTCGAGGACCACCAGGATTTCCACCCCGACCACCAGTCCTTGCATCACTCAAACCCTCACCAGCATAACCACCTGCAGGGCCTCCATAAGACGGAGGGTATGATGCTGGTCCACCAGTATAGCTTGTAGGTGGAGGAACTGAACCCATTCCATAATTTGTATTCCCATCATATGCATTAGGAGGAGGTGGGTAACTTCCACCAGCACGCCACTATAAGAACTGGGCCGAAGGAGGAACTTGACCATACCCACCATCCTCCCCCCCTTGATTACCCCATAGGAACCACTTCTACCACCTTCACTTCTATTATCATAATTTCCACCTCTGCCTCCAAGGTTGTTACTCCTCCCACTATCATATCCACCTCTCATCCCATCTCCTCTACCTCCACGATGAGCGCCATATCCCCCACCACCACCACCTCTGTTATACCCACTACTACCACGATCACCAGAACCCACAGGAGAGGATGCACCGCATTTGTTACACTCAACTCTTCTTGCAAAGTTCAAGTTCCCACAGCTGCATAAACATACCAGTTTAAATTTCACAAATGCAGGCAACCAACGTTAACATAAAAATATCAGCAAACCGAATTTAGCTGCTAAAACTAACAGTACAACTACATAGCCTTCCCCATAGAAAAGATAAAAATACCTGGGGTTCGGGCAAAGCCAATCACCATCTCTGCCTCCTCCTCCTCCACGGCCACCACCTCTTCCACCACGGTCTCCTCCTTGATAGCCTCCACCGCCTCCTGCAGAATCCATGTCCAATCCATTGAAAACAAGAGCAAATCACCGTACAACCCAACAAAACAACTATGAGAAACTTATGGTCAACAACAGCAACCCAAAAATCAAGAAAAAGAAAATAATTAACCACAATGAAAATTACCGCGGTTTTGAGAACTGCGACCGTATCCACCACCTCCACCTCTTCCACCGCCACGGCCACCGTAACCAGCGTCCCCTCCATAACCACCATGTCCACCAGCATATGAAGGCGGAGCAGCTTCGCCTCCTTCTTGACCGTACATTGTTTAAAGATGAATCTAGGGGTTTTGGGTATACTTGATCTTATCCCCCTTGATGTATTTAGGGTGCTATACAAATTAAAGAGTGGTGTGATGTGAAATATAATGGCCTTCCTTTCGCTTACTTCTTATAGTGTTTTTGACTGGCTACCATATATTTGAATCATCTGATTGTGTTTATAGTTTGTAGCCTAACCGGCATTGATTTGGGTCACTGAAATCAAATACGGACTGGTCTACGTGGAAATGGCTCCTCATTCTATGGTGTAACCCAAGGCCCAGTTCCAGGCCCTTACAACTGTAATATACCTCCATCCTAGATGAATTTCGGTGCAACTTTTATTTTATAAGAGTGCCGGTTATCAAACAGTTTTGATCTTATTTACTTTCGCTATTTTTTTCTAAAGAAAGACGGGCGTCATTAAAAATTCTTTTACCAACCCAAGATTAAAGCCCAAATATATTAATCAATCCTGATCCAAATCAGGAAGCATTACAATCTAGGGATCCTTTGGCTAATGTATGAACAACCATATTTACTTCCCTAAAAACATACGTAACAAAGCAACTAGTAAACTCATTACATTTATCCCGAATAGGACGCATAAGGATACCTATTGTAGACTCAAAATCACTCACATATTGAACAAATTGACAACAATAGTAGAACCCTTTTCAAAAATACTATTATGCCATCCTTCTTCCAAAGCCATATTAATCGCCGCACCAAGGCTGTGCAGTTCCGCTTCCGCTAGGCCAGCCTCAAAGATCCCACCAGACGTAGTGGCCATCCCCCCGAGCACAACTCCAGAAGCATCACGGGCTACAACACCCACCGTTGCCGGCTTGGTCACTGAATTGTATGCTTTATCCGCATTGTTTTTGATAAACCGATCAGGAGACGGTCGCCAATGGTTCAAATTAGAAGCATGCGATGACCAAACAAGGGTTCCGCTGGGCAGAAAGGAATTCAGCATGCAACGCCTTTGCATTAGCCACAATGACCCATGCTGGTTCTGGACGTCCATCATGCACCAAAGAGTTCCGCCCATTCCATATATTCCATAAGAGGACCAGAAATCCTGCAAATTGCTCAATAACAAGCGTAGTAAAAGCTGATTCCAACCATAATAAATAAGAGTGATCAATAGCGTTAAGGAACATACCTGACAGGCCTGCAATTCAAAAAACATCCTTCGCAAAGGAATAAACCCGAAACACATGCACTGTGGTTTCAATATCTATTTTACATAATGGGAAAATTATGTCTCCTAATCCAGCCAGTTGCAACTAACTACCAGTCAAAAGTGCATCTCAGACCAGTAGCCAAGTAAAGATACGTATCTTCGGAAGAGTTCTTACCTTGGCTATAACTCGCCAAAGAGGAGAGACTGCGCTTGTGGAATGTGTTGATCGCTGAAGCCACTAGTAGCTGAATGGACCGAATACAAACCTGAATCATGATGACCCCATACCAGACAATCTGTGAAGCAAGCTGCAATTGGAGTTTGAAGAATTCGATCATCGTCCTGTCTGTCAAACAACTCGCATACCTTGTCCTGTTGACACTGTGGTTTGTCCAGGTGCATGAAGTTGCTGCATCTGACATCTTGAAGCTGAGAGATGTATGTACCTGCAAGGGTTATAGGCTTAGTCCCACCCCAATTGTCTTGAAACATACGGGTATTGCTTTTACATCCTACCCTCCAAAAGAGCATTGGTTGTAACTACTGTAATGTCTTGTGTAGCACTTTCCATGCATATGAACTCCTATTTCCTAACGCAGCATGTAGCAGGTCACCATCCGGATAATGCTTAGCCCGAATCACTCAAGCAAACAAAGACTCAGGTTCCTTAATAAGTTGTCATAGTTACTTTCATAACATCGCAAAATTAAACAACCTGAGATCTCGAAAACCTAAACCGCCAACCCTCTTTGGCTTACAAATTTCATGCCATGCAACAATCGTCCATCCTTTTTATTGATTTTCCCAGACCACCAATAACGGCGCATGATTCCAGTGATCTCTTTTAACAGATAACAAGACACGTCATACTGAGGAGGAGCTTAAGCTATTGCTTCAAGAATACTTTCCAACAGTTTTTCAAAGCAGCCAGGGACTTACCACTGCCTCCGACAAACCAACAGTTTTTCAAACATCCAGGGACTTTCTACTGCCTCCGACAAACCAACAGTTTTTCAAAGCAGCCAGGGACTTTCTACTGCCTCGCATTTCCTTTTCAATAGAACTGTCATAAAACACTAAAACGGTAATCCCTAATGGTTTCCATTTTTCAATTTTTTTTGCCCCCTTGTTGTGGAACAACTGGTTTCTACTCATTTACATTCAATGTACCAATTGTGAGGCCGTAGTAAAACAAAATCGCAAAATGATCCCGTGCCACATACAAGTACCATTCTTTAAAATGGTTCTGGCAAGCTTTAAACATAAATTTATAATTTTATAACTTCGATAATAAATCATCTGGCCTTTCTATCATACTAATTTAAAAAATAAAATATGTTAAAGCATTTTGTTATTTAAAATTTTAATTTTTTTCACAAATATACGACCTCAGTGATTAAGAGAGTTGTTGTTATCTTTTAAGTCCTGAGTTAAAAGCACATCAAATGTCAGAGGTAAACGTTCATAGTCAAATATCTATTATAATTTTTATAAATAGAATAAAGAGAGATTAATAGTGTCCGTCATGCTCTAAAATTTTTTTTTTATATAACTTAAATAATTTATTTAAAAATATATATAAATTCATCCGATATA